GTGTGTGTGTGTGTGTATATATATTAGTATATAATATATATATGTGTGTGTGTGTGTGTGTGTGTGTCGTATATAATATATATATATATATATATGTGTGTGTATAGATGTGTGAGTGAGTGTTTGTGTACGTGTGTATGTGCATGCATATTTGTTTATATGTATGTGTATATATATATATATATATGGTGTATCTATTTACGTGTTTATATATGTTTAAACTTCAACATGTATGCAAATAAATAGGTATATGATGTATATTTATATATATATGTGTGTGTGTGTGTGTGTGTTATACCTATTTATGTGGATTTGTATGTGTAAACTTCAATATGCATGCATATATATAGGTATAGTCATCTATGTGTATACGCTTATTTCTTTACAACGACCGTGTCCGCATACCTACATACCTATGTGCTTGTATGTATTTATATACAATCATCTCCCATCTATACATCTATATACATACAAATATTCGTTCATCCGCATTGTAACTGCACGTGTACACCACCATTCTTATGTCAATGCTGTGTATATATTGAATTTATTTCCTTAGTTTTTTTGCGGTTTGCGTCAGCACCACCTCTACTTATTCCGGATACGTAAATACCCTCAAGTTGCTGGCTTAGTCGTTGTTGTGCTCATTCTATTTGCAAATTGCGTTATCACAGAGGATTTTCCAGCGAACCTCAACGGCCACACAGATTCAGACACGAGTGCGCGCATGCCATTACTCCGACACGCCCAACAAGGTAGGTTTGGCATATTTGTGTACACGGAGGACTGGTGTGTGGCTGCAAACTTGGCAGCCATATGTAGGTGGTTTTATTATTTATATAAATATATATATATATATATATATATATATACGCATGCATGTATATATATATATATATACGTATGCATGTATATATATATGTGTGTGTGTGTTTGTGCGTGTATGTATATTTATATTATAGTGTATGTATGTATATATATATATATATATTGCATTTACAATTCTATACTTAATGTCCGCACGACAGCTACTTTAAAGACACGATATTTGTAGACGTATAAAATCAATCAGGCACAGATCAACTATGACATCCTATAAGTTTGCCAATGTTCAACTGCTGCCTTTGTGTCTGTGAACAACCACTGGTAGTGTGCATGTACATAATGATTAAACAAAAGAGAGACTGCGCTTACGGCCCTGCCAATGTGCATGCTCCACAGCTGTGAAAGCCCACGTGCATAGCCGCGTGCGTTGCTGTTGCGAGCACCAATGGAAGTTGGTGGACATGTGTTCTTCTCTGAGTGTACACGCACAACATTTGTCTCAACGTACAACGTTCGTGAAGTATACAGTCTACTTAACGTTATCGACCCACGCCTTAGCTATATTAGCCACTGAGCCTTTAAAGCGAGCGGCACCAGAGTATTGGTTGCGCGCGTTTCAGTAACTAGCCGTGTATGCATAGTGTGAGAGCCTTTGTAGTACTATTTGCACATAGAGAGAGACTGTATACTTTCTTTTTTCCATGTGTGGAGTGCCGGATTGGTATTTTACGCGGAAAACGCCACGGAAATATTGCTGTATATGATTTTGACTGGGCTCAGTAACACTAGCGCCAGTACCCCTCAAGTCGCACACGCTTTGTTACAGTACCTTGGATCGCTTTGACGCATACTTTTATATGCATATATACACGTTCACGTATGTATATATATAATATATATATATGTATATATATATTGTAGGGTATAAATATATATATACATGTATATATATATTGTAGGGTATAAATATATATATATATATATATTGTAGGGTATAAACATATATATATTGTAGAGTATATATATTGTAAGGTATATATATATATATTACATGTGTGTGTATGTATGTGTGTGTATGTATGTATATATATATATGCATATCCATATCCGTATACCTTTACGTATCCATATACTACATATGCATATACATATACACGTACATATATATATATGTGTGTGTGTGTGTGTATGCATATGCATATGTATGTATGTATTTGATGTATATTTGTATATGCAAATATGTGTGTTTATATGTATGTATGTATGTATATATATACATATAGGTACGTATATATCTATATTTTTTATAGTTTTATGTACATGTTTACGTATATGTGTATGTATATGCATATGCATTAATATGTATATCTATATATGGACACATGATTACACTACGATATAGTATATAAATGAGGCCGTAATTACAATGTAGGCTTGACACTGCGACCTCGTGCATCAATAAGTTTGTGCGTCTGCCGGACTTTGAAGTGACAAGCACATTCATGTATCTATCACGGAACGGACATAGTCATGAATACATCACCCACCAACGCACTGTCAGTCACTATGAGCTTATAGATATGACAGGGTGTGCTCAATTTGTGGCTCCAATATTTGTGATATCGTAGGGAGGAGGAGGTTCTCGATTGGAGGAGTTGAAGCGGAGATTAGAGGCGCAGCGAAATGCAGCACAGAATTCGCGACCTGCGGGAAGGTCAAACAAACCTGCTACATCAGGTATTGAAGTACTTTTGCATCTATACGTGTGGGATGTATATCTGTTGTATGGGTTTCACCTACATGGGCATTCAGATTTTCTTTAAGAGACACATATTGTAGCAAGTATTAATTCTCACGTGCACGATTGTAGATAATCAGTCATGGTTTCAATATACCTTCTTTTAGGATTGAAATGATCGTGTCGGTAGGGTACAGCTTTGGTTTAGCCAAAGCTGAAAGCACACATACAAAATTAAACGGCTATATTCTTTAGAAAGTAATGGCTCGTGCGCACCATCCAAAATCGTCGCAGTATCTACAACCATTAACCAGACATGTACGTAGCTGAACGAAGGATCGACCCATGTCTGACTGTTTATCCTCATAGAAAGATTTAATGGACTTCAACACACCCATGAACTTCGTTCTCTGAACTGGATCTGCAGTATTATCGTCAGTCAGTCATACCACCTGCCCGCCAGAGACGAGCGCATCTCTGCGCATCTCTTCGCGCTGTGTAGGTAGTCCTACCTCGCCTGTATCTGCTGAAGCGTAGACAAAGATCCTTTCTCACCCGTTAGTATGCTTACCTCACTTGTACCAGGGCCTCGACCACCACCACGTGCCTCCCCTGCACCCCCCACAGCCGGTGAACAAAGGAAAGCCGCACCTTTCTTCAGAAGTTCAGAACCACAATCGGGCCAACCTCCCCCTCCGAAATCATACTTCCAGAGTCAGAAACCGGCATTTGGCTCGGCTAATGGGAACGCTTCTCAAAATAGCGCCCAGGGGAATCGACCGGATGGTATGTTTGGCAGCGCCAATCAGAATGCGTCCAACAAGAGCAGCCAATCAAATCGACCCAGTGGTGGTGCTTTCGGCAATATAGCCAATCAAAAACCAGCTTTCGGCTCGGCCAAACAGAACGCGTCTATCAATAGCAGCCAATCAAATCGACCAACACCAAACCAGAGACCCAACGCATTCACAAATCAAAACGCCAGGGTGCAAGCAACTACCCCAGAGTCCACCACTCCCTTCAACCAAAAGCCTTTGTTCGGGCGCCTAAACACAGCCCCCAACAGCCAATCTGGTGGCTCGGATGTGTCGTCGCTCTTCCTCAATCGCAACAGCGCCGCAACCCCGGCGAGTCAATTGCGGTACACCCCCAACGCCAATAGAGGGACCGGTGTCTTTGGCGGCAAAGACAGGCTCGCACAGCCCGCCGCTGTAGCTCCTGAGGAAGAGGCGGCCCAGCACAAAGGAGGGCACAACCACGATGCCCCTGGCGGAGTTGTTCCGTATGTATTCTGCGTTGCGGGGGGATGATGTGGCAGATGTGTGGCTCGTGTCGTGTATCATGTTGTGGTGCGTGGCTGATGGCGTAGAAGTGGAGTCTCCTTCAAAGAAAGGGCCACTGATCACGATGCTCCTGTTGGCGTTACTCCATTGATACTGTGTGTGCTTGCGCGGTTACTTGCAGTGGAAACAGATGTATCTAAAAGGTTATGATAGAATATAGACATGTACCTAGTAGAATATCACGACATGACATGTGTAATGTTTTGAGTGTCGCCGTATTCGCACGAGATGGTTATCGTTCATCCTTTCTCGTCTATTGATGTGCTTTGCCACTTTGATACATCATCCATACACAGGGCCTCTAACGAACCCATTGAGATTGGCAATGTGCCCCTGACGACACCTCTAGCGTTCAAGTACCACAGTGCGGGACAAATAGGTCAGTTCTACGAGTGGAGCAGCGAGGATGATGAGAAGCGAGGCAAGAAGGCGAAGGAAGATGTGGTCTGGCCAAAGGGCATGAAGGATCAGGTGTGTTGCACGGCTGTGCTAGGTATGAATGAATCAATATGAATGTACAGTGTTAGTTGTATGTGTATGTGTATGTATGTATCTTTATGTTTTGATATACATGTATATATATATATGCGACGTTGAGGCCAAGATGGTCTGGTCTAAGGACATGCAAGACCAGCTGGCTGGTGCAGCACTACTAGCAATCGATACGAATGTATATTCATATTTACAAAAATAGGTATCTGTCTATATATATATATATTATGTGTGTGTGTGTGTTTATACCTATATTTATTTATTTTTTTGTAATACAGATTCACTGTTTATATATTTATATAGATTGTGTGTGTGTGTATGTATGTATATGTATATGTGTGTGTGTGTACGTATGCATAAATGAACATTTATATGTATTCTCATATGTGGCAAGTGGGCTGAGCAAAATGTGATGTGGCTGAAGGGCATGTTGGCCCCGATGCGTACTATTGTGCTGCTAGTGTGTAACATACGGCGTCTGTACAATATTACTACATGTCAAAATAATCCGTAGAGATACGCTGAACATGACACTGGCCTATGGAACGAACAATACTGCGATATCGGACAGCATCTGTCGTATTGCGGATTGGGTTGGCGGCAACCGCAGTTTTGTCTGTCGTTGAGTAGGACTGGCATGCGTTAAACATATATCATATCAAAGCGTATCCCGCACACGCCTTATCCGATATGGAGTTCTATTTGTCGGATTGAATTCACCCCCAAATCTGCACCCGACTACCGCATTTCTGACCACCATTTCTGATTTTTTGATTTTCCGCTCCTGTTTTTAGTTCAAGCTGTTCGGTAAGAACTCTCTCATGATCCGCCAACCGGCCTTGGAGGTCTTGGCGCACATCCGCAATCACGAGCGAACGGAGAACCGAGATAAGAAGTGAGTCGTTGTCACGTTGTGATTCATATGTATTGAGTGTGAAGATGCTACCCAAGGTATATGTGTGTGTGTGTGTGTGTATGTATATGTGTTTGTATGTATGTATGTATGTATGTGCGTATGTTTGTGTGTATATATATATCTAGGTATACATAATATATATATGTGTGTGTGTGTGTGTGTGATAAAATGTATCACATTTATTCGCCCCAAACAGATTTGGCGTTCTCACAAATGGCATGTGCGACACGTTACCGGCACGCAATGGCCTCGGTGTTTGTGACTATCGTACCTCAGGAGCTCTCTCTTCGACCTTCATATGTATCGTCCAGTGATAATGTGTACTGTATTTGCACTGTCACCATCGCAACCTATGCTCTATAATTTACACATCGGCCCCAACACATTTACACACCCGTACACCCTCGCGCCCGCAGATTCGGCGTGCTGGTCAACGGTATGCGAGGCACAGGCAAGAGCGCAACCATCGCGCACGTGGCGCAAACCCTGGCAGATAAGGGCCACGTGGTGCTGCACATTCCGAAGGCGACGTTCTGGATGTACGAGGCGGACCGTGTAGTGAAGTCGGCGGTGCACCCGTGGTTTGACCAGCCGTTCGATGCGACTGATCTGATCGACTACTTCCTGAAGATCAACGACCATGCGATGCTGAAGGACATCAAGCTGAAGGTGTGGGGGGGGATAGGGCCTGTAGGTGTGGGGAGAGTCGAGTGTGTTTATCCATGTTTATGTTACATGCGATGGTGTATGTGGCCAAGTTGAAGCGAAGTCCTTCAGGTGTCTGGTGTATTCGCATTGGGATCGGGTATGTGGCTATGTACAGAGGTTTCTATGTATCATTCGGGCAAGGGGTGTCTTTGGGCTTTACACCTGTCCCCGCGTCTGTACCATGAAACCTTGCAACGTGACGAAGAAGGTAGATAGCAAGAATTACATGTCTGCTGCACTTACCTTTGTCTGTTCGTACGGAATGCATCCGCCCCTTTTGTGCACTCTCAACCTAGTATGTGAACCCTGTATAGTCCAATCATTGCCCAAGGACTTGTGCTTTAGCCATTTTTGCCATAGCCTCTCACACCGTGGCATTTTTGTTATCAATTTTATCAAATTGACTGGCACTTGCTTACCATAACACCTCGCACTGTGCCAATCTTTGTCTTCACTCGGCACAAGCACAAGATTGAGAGCGTACTGAACAAGGCATTGTCTACATATTCCTTATCCCTACCTTAACCTTGTACACTTTGATACTTTCTATCACTACCTAGCACAAGTACGAGATTGAGGGTGCAGCGGCCGGCCCTGGTACCCCTAGGGATTCCATTTTGGACTTGGCGCGCATGGGAGCTGGGCCTTTGGATCTGGAAATCCTCGAGGACTACCCCCCTGCAAGAGAGGTGAGTTTTCATAGCCCTATACTTTTTGTGTCGTATATGTGTGTGTGTGTGTATCTATATGTACATATATACATGTGTGTGTGTGTATGTATGTATGTATGTATATATTTATGTCTGTGTTGTGTGTGTGTCTGTGTGTATTATAGTACTGCCATGTGGCCCAGAATCTTCGAGTATGGCAATTCTGGCAGCGACTGTGCGACACCAAGAGCGCCTGGATGTATTTAGGTCTGAGAAACAGTGTGGACGTGTACTTCGATGGATTGGTGTTCTGTATTGTATGTGTACGTGTGTATGCTGGTGTACAAATGTATGCGGGCTACGACGCAAGCATGGCGCTACCAATGGTATCGGTACCAACACCCCTGCCAATGATATTGGTACCTACACTCCCACCATATACTACCATTGCGTTTCAGTGTCTCTGGACTGCATTATAATACCACCCGATATCTGGTAGGGATAGCAACCATGCCAGGCATGTGTGGGGGTGCATGATATGTACCAGCATGGTAGGCCACGATGTGCATGGAGCTCTATCAACGGACGTGCCTTCAGCAGCTACTATGCCACCATGTCTCACTCGTATCGATACAAACTCACTGGCATCAATCCCCATAGGTACTGCCCGCGCTGATGGAGGAGTTACGCTTAATGACAGACAAGCCCGTGCTTGTGGCCGTGGACGATTTCAATGCGTTCTACAATGTGTCAGAGTTAAGAGGTGTGTACCTTCTGCTTCGCACATGTGTCCCATTGTGCCTGGTTTGTGTTGGATCTGGGACGAGCGTATATGCACTGTACCACATCTTCTAATCGAGGCAATTGTACTGTACAACTCTAACGACTTCCGCACAAAAAAGTTATCTCAAAGGTGCGAGGCATGTATTCTGCACTTTGCCACGCATTTGGTCGTGGCGACGTTGCACATCAATGCTACATATATATATATATATATATATATATGCCTTCTTGTCACACACGCAGTCTCTCTATTTGCACATATATATTTATTTTTGAGTTGAGGTTATAGCCCTCTAGCCTTAATATCTTGGCACCACCACGTGGGTACTGACAACTTCTTCTATTCGTTCTCTGCTCGTAACCAGACAACCGTAATCGCCGGTTGCATGGACTTCACATGGCAATCACACAGCTAGTAATCCGGCTACTCGATGACAAGTACAAGCTGGTAAAGTTTCTTTTATTGTATGAGGTTTGGATCTTGTCGGAGATAATTGGTTGAAGCTGGTGATGTATGGATTGTAGGTTGTCTTACAGTGTTTATTCAATCCTCTTCTTTTAATATCACTTGATCATATCATGCTTGGTTTATGCCACGTAAGTGTACTCTGTAGTCGTATGAGAGAGTGCTATTGAATATTGTCTACCTTATAGACCGCGTACTCTGGCTGTGGAGGGTGACCTATCTATTTATCTGCATGGTATGCCATGTGATTTTAATTTCTGCGTATATACCTGCTGCACTCCATGAACCTATATTATCAGAATGTATATATATATATATATATGATGCGTTGTCTTATTGTTTTGCACGTGGATATGAACTTCTTCAAGGTTCCACAAGTTTAAGTAGAATATACCACGCCAGAAATTGTATGTATGTTTTCATTACAAAGAAAAGAAAGTAGAGGTCCGCACATACATGAAGTCCACTCCACTACAGGAGAGACATATTCACATCCTCGCTCGGCTCCTGGAACTGTACTGCCGCACCTGACACGACTATATATAAGTATATTCTTCATAGATTTTTTTTCTCATACATATACTTTTTAGGCTCGGGGAACGCTGCTGATGGGTCTGACGAATACCGGGATCAAAACCAACACAAAGTTCTCGACTGAGATCAAGGGGATGATCAAGGAAGCAGCTGCCATCGATCCTTTTAACTGTAAGTTAGAGATACCGTCACTTGCTGGCAGGCCTATTGCGTGGCGATCGGTGTATTGAATCGTAAAACAATTTTACCTTCAGATCATGAATGGCTCAAATACAACAGTCCAGCAGGGAAGGCTTAGCATCTTGCCAAAGTTGCTGATCTGGAATATAGTTGAGTTTGTTTTCTTGATTCTAGTCAGGTTTGATGGGAATGGATTCGTTTGGCAATGTTGGGTGAGTGCCTGCGCTCCCACCGTAGCCAGCGAACCAAAATTTGTGCTCATCACACGCAAATACAAACATACGTACACACATATAAATATATATTTATTTATATGTGTGTGTGTGTAGGTATGTATGTAGGCACGTATATAATGTATATGTGTATGTATATGTATATGTATATACATATATATATATATATATATATTCATATAGATCTATACCAACACATACTCACATAGTACGTCCAGAAGCTAACATATCATCCTGCCAAACCTTTTCGTAACTATCTTGTAGCCAATACCATTAAGGAATTGCCCGAGCTTGTCAAGGTGCAGACCCGTGCCTTCACAGAGAAAGAGGTTGAACGCTTCCTGCTGTACCACCACTCGTGCAACAAGAGGCCAGATACAAAGGGTGTGTGCTTTTGTGCCAAACTATGTATGTATGTGAGAAATGCGAGTCCGTTTGTGAAAGGAACTGTGAATATGTTAAAGGGCGATTATGCATGTGACGTATACTTTGTGTTTTTTTGTTTAGGTGTATGGCAAAAGGGATTATTCATAAATAAGGTAAAATGGGAGGTAGATTGTGGGTGTCAATGTTGTGTATTGATAAAGTGAAGAGCTGAACGGCGCAATACAATTGTGCATCTCATAATATATGCTTTTTCAAGTGCGTATGAAAGCAAGAAGGCCGTGGATGATAGGAGTTACTGGTGGCTTGATTATGTGTTTAATAGCTGTTGGCGTGTATGTGTGTGGAAGATTCGGCAAGCGTGCATTAGTGACTCATACATGTTTTCACACACATATATATATATATATATGGGTGTGTTTGTGTTTGTGTGTATCTATGTCTTTATATATATTTATGTAATTAAATATATATATATGTATGTATGTATGTATATATGTATATATATATGCAACTTCTACTTTCTATTTCTAAAATCATCTTCTATATTTTGTTCTAATTTCTATTTGTCCCGTTTCCTGTGGCAGATCTTCGCGAGACAACCATTGCGGAGGTGCGGATGATGTCCAGTTGTATCCCTGAGCAAGTGTCGAAATTGAGTGTGTACATGTAGGTACACCCTCTTTGGGACTCTCTTGAGCCCTCACTTGGTGCTGCAGGCTTCCTCATACAATTGTTCTTGTGATGCATAGTACTGAGGTAGAGTCGGCAATTGTAAGACCAATTCTCTGACTTCATTCGATTTAAATAAAACTAATGGACGATGCTTGTAAATATCTATGTGAGCGTGCTTGTTTGGCTGCTCGCCAAGGACCATGCCACGATGAGTAACTTGCTCTGTAGCCCAGTAGTTCAGCCAGTCGAATGCATCTGCTGAAAATGAATGAATCGCAGCGAGACAACAATAGAGTACTTTCAAGTAGTTAAATAAACCGTAGCAGTGGTCAAAGGATGCCCCGGGAAATCCCTTCCGCCACAGATGATCTCTTGTTCATAGACGTCGACTGTAGTAGGAGAGGCGGCGACAGCGATTACAATGGTATACAGTTTGGTTTGTTAGTTGTTGGTGATATTGGGATCGAACGCGAACTGAAACGACAAGTTGCTGTTTATATATACTGGAACTCTACATGTGCACAAGTGTATGTTTACATTGCGCATGCAAGTTATAATCTCGAGTCCAATGTAGCCGCACGGGCAGCACTATCTGTCTACGCTGCATATAGATAGCAACCAGAAGACTGATAGAAATGTACGAGTAAATAAAGTACGTTCATGCATAATAATTTCAAAACTTTTGAATACGGCAGGTATATTTTTGCGCAACGTCGTTTGTTGTTATAGCAATCTACATCCTTATCATTCGATCCGGCAACCTTGCCGGAACAACACTGAGAAGAGGAGTACTTGAATGTGGCATAGCCTTCACACTTTCGTGAATTCTTGCAGCACTTAGTGTTTTTCTTATAGTGTCCACCGCATTTGTCGGTCTTGACATCACCAAATGCTCATCAGAGTGATCCACCTTGAAGATAGACCCAGAGCAGCACGACGTGGACTTTCACTTACAATTGCCCCAGCAATCACGTATGTACGAGTTTTTGCAGCATTTGAGGTCGCGCTTGTAGTGGCCATCGCACTTGTCAAACTTGATATCACCGCAACATTTTCCCTTATAATCTGAACGGCAGATTTTAGATACAGAACTCTTGGATGGGCTTGGTGCATGCTTGTGTTCTAATGTTTCTGGGGTTCCTTCGACTATGGGCTTCGGGACTCGCTCAGGTTAAAGACCTGGTGTAGACATGGGTGGATTCGATGACATGGGAATCTTACTTGGAACTGAAATAGCAAGAGATGAAGGTGTCATATGTGGGACTTGAGGACCATGGGTGGCGTGGCATTCGGCTGAAGATCCCGTGTAGACATGGGAATAATACTTGGAACTGAAATAGCAAGAGGTGAAGGTGCCGTATGAGGGACTTCAATTGGGACCGTGGCATTTGGTGTCATGTATGGGTGGACATGGGTTCCGTAGGTACGGGTTAGATGCCAACGGAATATCGACTCATCCCCGCTTTTTATAGAGATTGGTCTGTGTGGTGTTTGTTTGCTCGATGCAGTTTACCTCCTGGTTGGGTAGCATGTCCAAAATTCGCTTAGACTCGCATACTCCTAGGACATCACATCCAGACCAGGTAGACCATTTGTTATACTCGCACGAGACTCGGGGTACCGGTGATATACTAAGGTCATGACCGCCACCAACAAAATCAGATGTTCATTCGGAGCTGGTGTTACCCTCGACACCGATATGAAAGTGCGTAACTGGTGAATATCCCGTGTGCAAACAATTAATCGTAGCTACCACATTTCGGGCCAGAGTGCTGTTGTCACTCGTGGTGGTTCTCGTGTCGGTCATAATGGCTGGGTGACCCTCATACATGATATTGCATACCTGCTGGACTTCTGTGGGGGTCAACCCCTGGTTCAGATTCCCGTGACTATCAAGCGGCGTTGTGCGTGTCGTGGTATCTGTGCAAATAGAACTGTTGCATACAGTCTTGACGGTGGTGCTGTCTTTCCGAGAAGAGGACAGCGTTTCGTGACAGTGATTCTCGTCGGTCACAGCGCATGGCTTGACTGTGGTGTCCACGTGGTTGCTATCGCTAGATTTCACTAAAATATAGCCACCACATGTGCGCCGATAGTAGGTTGTTTCGGTCCAGAATTTTGGCGTGGTGTTTTCAAAATAGTTTGTGTACACATTTCTGCGCGTGATGGTCTTCCTGCAACAGTGATCACGATCCTGGTCCGAGGTGAGGCAAGATTTAGAGCATCCGTTACCAACGCGAGGACGACTGCCGTCAAATATATTGACAATAATGAGACATTGGATTTTATATTTCGAGTCACAGTTACTCTAGTGTGCGGATGTTCGGTGACCACTGTCGAGGTCACGTGGGCAGGTTGGTTTATGGTGGAATTTTGAGAGATCTTAGTGATGGTTACAAGTTAACCAACAGTACAAGTGAACACACAGTTGATCACAATGTGGTCAGAATATACACTAGGGGTGTTGTTCCATGTGCACGAGTCGTTATGGTGGCTATCCAAATGGATGTGACCACCATAATAGTAAGTGAACTCAAGGCCTGTGGATGAGTGCAGGGTCTGGTCCGTTACATGACCGTGTCGCCGTTGTCACACGCAGTGCTGGACTCGTATTCCGTGATTCTAGTGCCTTGGGGACCGTTGTTGGTGTGACTTGATACAATTGGGTCATCCGAGTCTGAGGAATTGAAGTGATTACAGGTTATGCCCGGACACGGGTTGGCCTTGGCGTGATACATGTTGGTCGAATATTGGGGCAAATCGGGGTCAGTCATGTCTGGGATTTCAAACAGCATGACGAATCACCCATCGCTGTACTTCTGCATGAGTCACCTGAGTTCTGAGGTCCTGAGGACCACCTAAACCTGAACCCTCCCCCTAAACCCTAACTACCCCCTTAAATCCTAACCACACCCCCCCCTCTAAACCCGAATCCACTCCTAAATCACAACCCCCATAAACCCGAATCCACTCCTAAATCACAACCCTCCTAAACCGGAATCCTCCCTAAACACGAACCCCCATAAACCCTAACACACACACCCCCTCTCTCTAAACCTTACTAAATATATGTAGAAAGTGAGAACTGGAGAAGTTCACTAGTTCAGAACAGTCAGAACAGTGAACACGAACACTGAGAATACTCTCAACAGTCAAGTGAGTCAACACTAATTATTACTCTAGAGAGTCTGTGACAGTGTGACTGAACACTGTGAACAGTGAACAAATAGTGAACAGTGAACTGTCAACTGTCAACTGTGAACTGTCAACTGTCAACTGTCAACAGTGAACTGTGAACAGTGAACAGTGAACAGTGATGAGTGGAAGTCAGGCCTGAGCCCTGGGCCTGAAGTCTGAACTTCACGGAAGTCTGAACTCTGAACTTTGAACTCTAAACTCTGAACTCTGAAGACGGCACTGAACAATGAATAATACTGAATAGTCAACGCTGAATAGTGAACAATAAAAATAGAACACTGAGTCACGGAGTCCAGTTTCAACACGCAGTGGCTCAGTGGACAGTGACTCATCAGTGACTCATCAGTGGTAATGAGTCATGACTCATCAATACTCATGCACATGCTCGCTCTCTCTGTCTCTGCCCGTGACCGCGGCCCGCGGGCCGCAGGCCGCAGCGGGCGCAGCCTCTCACTCAGTCTTGCTCAGGCCTCAGAGTCTCTCACTCTCTCTATAATCTACCTACTGTTCTCTACTACTCTCTACTCTAGTAGGGAGAGAGTGAGAGTGAGTGAGAAAGAGTCACTATATATTCGATTATTTACTCGTTTGTCCCTTGACTCTTCATCTCACCGAACTGCGCCACTGTGGTCTGTGGTCTGTGAAGTCAGAAGTCAGAAGTGTGAATACTGTGACTGACGAGTCGTCTTGATAGGTGTGAGCAATCATGTGTATGCCTGTGAAATATAAAGTTCACAATGCACCTTCTGGCAGGATAAGTGACAAGTGTGGTTTACGCCCTCCGTGACCTCGATGCGCTCAGGAGACAAAACATGGAATTGGCATGCATTGTAAAGAAGTGTTTTTATGAGTGTCCAATATGTCGGTTTGCATCTATTAATGTTATTTCGTCCTATTTGGTATATCCCATTATACATGATCTTTCACCGTACTCGTGAAGTGTAGCAAGGTAGCACATCTTAATATTTGGTCTCATACGTCAAGGAAAATACGTACGTATATACACAGACAGTAAGACGTATACACACAAGAACACACACGTACACACGCACTCATACACACACACACATATATATATATATATATATATACATATATATATATATATATATATACGCGCGCGTGCACACATACACGCATGGACATCCGATATTGAAGGTATTATATATAGGTAGTTTGACTTTTATTGAGCTTTGTTCTAGTTAGTATTTGTTGCTGCATTTTCCTTCGTCTGAGTGCTTTCCGACAAACTATCTACCAGTTCAGAAAGAGGGGGCATCAGACTGGCATTGCCCTTGACGAAGGTCATATTTTCAAATGTACTTCCTTTGAAGGACGCTTTCCGACTATCATCGAGGAGATTGCCGGATAATGGGAAGACGCTCTCGGATTGCCATGATGTAGGCTTGAATGAAAAGGATATACAAGCTACCATGTACAGTATGGGCAATGTGTTCCGAAATTTCAACCAGTACTCTGTTGCCTGCAAAGTAGGATTCATCAACTTGCCTTCGCTTAAGGTGATGGACAGCTGAACTGGCAGATTTTCCCATGTATTTAGTTCCCTATCTACACTGTTCTCCATCCCCCGGTGCATAGTTTCCTCTAAAGGTGTCTCAGAAGAGGTGTCCACCACAACATTCCTTTGTGCTCTCTTAGTTTGCAAAAGTCGGCGACGCTTACTGGCTGGACTTGCTTCTGTGTCTTCCGCCATAATCTCTAGCCAATCCAAAGATGACTTTGATACCGAACTGGTTTTCGAACTGCCCTGTACTGAAGTTGTTGTTTTGCTCGTAAGCGAAGTACTAGGCGGTTCATTATCGCTCTGTTCTATACTCGTTTTATTCTTGTGCTTGTTACGCAATAACTGTAAAGCCCATTCCTTAACAGTTTTTCTAGCAATGTTCATAACCTTGTCTAGGTCATCGTCTTCGAGTTCTACGCTTGACATATCCTTGTGCAAGCAATGTAGGTAGTAGTTTGCTAGCATTGGAGGTTCTGGGATCGATGGAAAGCAACCCCTCATCAATTCTCTTATACGAACGCGCATATTGCGAATAGGTTTCTCCAGATCCGACTCTTTGCATATCGCCGAGGCTGTGTCTGGGCCGGATTGAACGTCAGGGTCGATAGCCATCGCGAATAAACAATCAATCGTCAGCTAAACATTGCGATCTGTTTGAATCACAATTTGTAGTACCATAAGTGGCCGCAAAACTCCAATAAACTGTCGTCGTAGTGTCTTCACAATTATTGGCGATTCGCACTTCTTTTTCCTATTTTTGCCATCTCTCCCATACCACAACCCAGATGTACGGTTTTCCAGTGGATCCTCCGAAATTGTGTTTACTTCAGGATCAATTAGATCATCTCTTTTAGCCATCTGATACAGCCCTAACCATCGTGTTGATCCATTGGTCCTAGCCTTCCTCACCTCGTGACCGTTTTTTTTTTGCTGGGCTAAAGCTAGTTTGTCACTAGCTACAGTACTCTTATTGAAATATACAGCTCTCGTCGCAATGTTGGTTATTAATGCCTCTACCGCCGTGATATCGTAAGCTTCCATTGTGGATGCAAGATCAGCAAGATCCGTATTCATATTTATATTCCGCTCCAGAATATCAATTTGGAGATCTTCATTTTCATTGTGTAGACCTTCTCCCCACAACAGTCTAACCTGATCACTTGCTGTTTTGATATCACCACCAACTGCGTTCTTTAGGCATAGCTGTACCTTATGTGCTAGACAACCAAGTGTGTAGAGAGCAGTGTCTTTCATGGCTTTCATGACATTCGCTGCATTATCCGGGGTACCGCTGAAAAAGATCTGTTTCAGATCTAACTTTCCATCCGACCTCTTGTCCGCCTGGAAAGAAGCTTTAGGGACAGGATCCAACAACTTCCAGTCATTTAAAATGTCTCGTTGCCATTTTTACTAAATTTTCGCCTGAGTGTCCACCTCGTACAGCTAGTAATCCGATGAATACAGATTGCATCACAAAGGTTTCTGGGTCGTTGAAATGAACATGCGAACCTAGCCAGTTAGTACCATTCGCATCCTTCCAAAGATCGCTTTCTACTGCGGTAAAGGGACCATTGTAGTAGAAACAAGCCACATGCCAACGTCGGAGTGAATTAGCTCTTATACCTGCCTTAATGATGGGTAAGTACTTGCGAACAGTTGCCGGTGCAGGCGGATTGTATCTAGACTTTAAGGTGTCCGGAACTTGCTTCGCTAAATGAAACCAGTCACGGAATTGCGGTTTATGACCGAGTGCAAAAGGTACATCGTTTACACAGGTCATGGTAGCCCACTGCATGTCTGCCTCAGTTTTTCTATGCGAGAATTGTGACACTACCTTGTCAGTCTTCTTCTCTAAGAAAGGGGTATCTTTAGCTGCTTGTGCTTCACTCCCTCGTCACCAACACGTTTCTTTTCAGTTTTGAGTGTTTGATACCAATTCTTTGCATTGTGAGATTCGGTCTAATAAAGGCGATACTAATGCCTTAGAATAAATAAACGCGTAGGTAAATTCTAAATATCGTGTAAATATCGATATAAATAAACGAAATGAGACGTTTAATAAAGTTAGGTTTGCCTCGTGAAAACAGCAATACTCTGAGGGATCGTGAGGCTGAGACATTGCCTATATATAATCCTCTCAGTACTGTTTCCGCCGAAGGGATTTTATTTAGTGTTTCGTTGTCGCTCTATTCTGGGGCGAATCCGAGAGACTCATAAAATCCTATCTTTAGAAAGAAGAAAAAATTAAATACTCTTGACGTCTTTAGTTATTGTCTTAACAAATAACTTGCCACTATCAAGAAATACCGACTTAGCCTTCATCAGACTGGCACATCTGGTTAGCTTATCGGAGGATCAACTAGGTAATGTTAATAGTCCCTAGAAACCTATATTCGGTTGAGCCATCTCGCTACCGAAGTATTCAGATATAGATAAAATTGGAATGTAAATATAGCTCTTTTAATAGAACAAGACCAACTCTTTTATGTTTGGTATTTTACTGAGGCCTTTTAATGGCCTCATCCAAATATCTGATATGTTAAATGGAAAAGGTAATAATTAATAAAACCATTAAAAACCATTTTAGGAAACTTAAGTTCCTCGTGCTATTAAGAGCACATTTAAGAGACTTAAGTTCCTCGTACTATTAAGAGTACATTTAGGAAACTTAAGTGCCTCGTACTATTAAGAGTACGTTTATAATTTGCGTACTGCTTAAGTGTACGTTTATACATAGAGTCTAATGTGGAGGCCCGGCTTATTACACAGCCCCCAGCTTTGAGACCCAAGAGAAGCAAGTTGCTCACTCAAGCTGATTATGGGTCAAAAAGCGAGAAAGAAAAACGGGTCGAAACATTAAGTAGCATAACATATAGTTAATGTTTCTCAGGCGGAGAAGTTAAGTGTTCTCGGTTACCCTGTGAGTTTTGGGCTTAAGTCCCGTAGGTCCGTGGTGGTCGACTGGACGTTTCTTACTCTTCAGTGTCTTAAGCACATATGAAGGATGAGCATTAAGGCTCGGGATAAATGCTGTTGGCGGATAAGTTTTAAGTTCCGTTCCTTCAGACGATG